CGGACACTTTCAACCCCTTCCAGTCCAGGCCAATTTTTAGCTTTCAGTGCTATCACACTTTGAATGACAATTGCGCGGTCATGCAACACTGTACCCATATGATTTTTTTAGCATTTTTTTGAGACAGATGGTGGTATTTATTCACCACTAGGATTTTTATTTTTTTGCTATATAAATGAAAAAGTCCAAACATTTTGAAAAAAAAAAAAGTGTTCTTATAAAATTTTGCAAATAAATAATCTTTCTTCATAAATCGTGGCCAAAATGTATTCATCTATCTTTTTAGTAAAAAATAAATAACCTAAGTTAGTTTATAACCAAAAAATATAATTAAAAAAAAAAAGATTTGACATTTTTATTTTATTTTTTTATATTATTATGTTTTTTCTGAACATAATGTTACCCTAGCAGTACAGTGTCACAAAAGTGACACTGTACTACTTATTGGGGGTGATGACATTTTTTTTTTTATTGTTACGCTGATTGCTTTTACACCCATAAAGCCTGTAAAAGCAATCATTTCTCCTACCCTCTGGCTGCATTCTTGCAGCCACTGAGAAATACTGAGTTTGCTGTGATTGGTCACAGCTTGTCACATGGTACAAGGCTATTGTGAATAGCCTTGTACCATGTGACCTCTGTGATCACTGACAGATTTCAATAGTAGTAAGCAATGATGTCAGAAGTGACATCTTGCCTACTATTATTCATGTGATCACTGATTGGCCAATCAGTGATCACATGATCGGGACCTCACACAGAGGTCCTGTACAGCGATCGATATTCCGCTGTGTCTGGAGGACACAGCGGGCACCAGATAACGGTGCTGCGCACTCCCAGGGAGCACGCACAGGCGGGGAACGGGGAGGACGTTTATAAACGACCACCCGACCCTGCACTGCCACCGTCCGGCCGTTTATATACATGGGCCAGACGGGAAGTGGATATTTGCCAAACATTGACTATATGGACTCTGTGCCACCTCTTGTGGACTATTTGCCAGTCATGGACACTTGCTTCTAAAGGGACAATGCCTGTTACTCAGGTATGATTACCTTATTGGCACTAAAACATCTTTGTATAGGAATTCATGTGAGAAGCTGCTTGACAAGAACTGTTCCTGCATGTTGCCTTTCTTCAGGAAAGTTACCATTAACCATTTAGTGCCTGGTCTGACGTTCCTCTCTTAAAGCAGAGAGGACCTTCAAAAAAAATTAAAAGTCGGCAGCTACAAAAACTTTAGCTGCTGACTTTTGATAAATAGACACTTACCTGTCCTCAGATCATTGGTGTGCTCACCCGAGGGGGCGCCGGATACCGTCTTCAGTCCCTGGCGCCGTCATTTTAGCTGTGGGCATCCGGCTGTGACAGCTTGCGGCTTCACATTTGTGTGCCCACTTGGCATGCACGAGCTGCTCTGTGCACTGTGACTGGTCCTGCAGTCTTCTAGGATCCGTGCTGTGTCCCAGAAGACTGCAGGGAGGAAGGGGGGAAGAAGCACTTCTGCTTGGATCACCTAGGCCAGGAGTGTCAAACTGGCGACCCTCCAGGTGTTGCGAAACTACAAGTCCCATCATGCCTCTACCTTTTGGGAGTCATGCTGGTAACTGCGAATCTTGCAATACCTCATGGGACTTATAGTTTGGCAACAGCTGGAGGGTCACCAGTTTGACACCTGTGACCTAGGCGATCCAAGCGGACGTGGGAGCGGGTACCTGTCAAACTCAAAAATTACAGATTGGAATAAACATCCCACACTGATTAGATAAGAAGGTAAAAATGACACAAGGCTAATCCCAATCTGAAGGAACCTCCAGGAGGACCAGCCAGCAGACAGAAACAATAGGTGACACATTTAATTAACAATGGAACAAATACACAACAGTAAGCACATAACGCCTTAATAAACAGAATACAGCAAGAGGCCTCAGGATCAGGTTGTTTTGAGCTGATTATAACATCTGCTCTGAATCTAGGAGGGGGTTGAAGCAGTCAATGCTAGTTTGGGCACAGAGACCCCAAATCTGTATCCTGGTCCTCCAGTTCTCAGTCTGTGTTTTGGGGAGACATGGACTTGAATCCAAAGTAAAACTACTCCAAAAGGTCCCCCAGGCACCCACCTCCCAAAGAATAGAGCCCCCTCAACTTCATGGCCCATGGTCAGTAGGCAAGAGGTTAGCCTGCAATCTCCTCCAAAAAACCCTGTCCCAGTTGGGTCTGCCACAAGGTGTGTTACTGGCCAGATAACCAGGTGAAAACAGAGGGGAGAATCCTAAAAAAAGAAACCTAATGCTGCCACCATATCTATGGATTGATAAGCTGCAATATATTACATTTTTGTTTTGGGTTTAAAAAAGTTTTGAACAAAATAGTTTAATTTTGTCTTTTCTCGTTTCTGTATTTAGGGTTGTGTACTTTATTTCACTTATTGTTCTTTGTATTTGTGTTTTCCCTCTTATTGTGTGTTTTAAAAAGTAAAACACACAACAGTACACAAATGGAAACTTAATGAGACTAACGAGGGGCTATTTTTTGGCAAAAGAACAGATCCAGGAAAGTGGAAAGGAGCTTCTTTAACCTCCCTGGAGGTACTCCTGAGTGTAGCTCGGGGTAAAGTTTCAGCACCACAAGCAATAACCCCGAGCGACACTCGGGAATACCTTGCAGCGTTGCTCCGGGATCTGTTCTTCTCTTACCTTGTCCTGCGCTCCCGCGATGTCCCTCCTGCAGTGTCCCTGGTAATGTCCTCTGGCCGATGCCGGCATCAGTCTTCCGGGTTCCGTTCCCTGCGACGTCAGGATGTACGGGGACAGAACTGCAGGAAATTTAAAAATGTGAAAAAGTGACATTCACTAAAATCACATAGTAAAACATTACTGTATCAAAGCATTTCACATACATTTTGTCCCTCCTGCTTTGTCCTGTGCCCTGCCTGCATCTTTACTGTTCTTCCTGCCTGGAAACTGAGAAATGTCCATGGCGTCCAAAAAGCGTCCCTTTAGGTCAAAAATCGTTTTTAGACCAGCTAGAGAACAGCGATAGTAAATCAGAACCACTTGCAGAATTGAGTGATAATGATTCGTAGGGAAATTCGTCATCAGACACTGAAAACAATGTTGCGACTTTTTCTCAGCGATGTGCGAACTTGGCGCTATATTTCAAATTTCAGTGTTTTTGGTTTGATCATATTATTGAATTCAATTTATTATTATATTATTATTTTTTTATGATTATTTATTAAATTATAATTTATGATTTCGTGTTTCAAATTTTATCATACCCGGGATGTTTACTAGACTCTTTTTCGGACAGATTTCAGTGAGTTATTCCTAAAAATTACAGGCCTACAATAAAAAAAATACATATTTCCATGCAAAAAAACGTACCGCTTTGAGCACAGAAACACTGACATAATCAGACTGCTAGGGAGGTTAACCCTCAGGAGCCATTCATGGTTCTAAAGTGTAATTTTTTTTTTGGCTTAATGCATTCTCCATATTAGGGTAAAAAAACTCTCCAATACATATCCTACCCAGCCCTATCCCTAAAAACTTACCTGACTCCTGTCACCGCTCCGGCTCAGTCTCACCTGCAGCACCGCCATAGGCTCCTGCTGCTGTCAGTCAGATTCCTGTGAGGATGGAGTAGGGGATTTAGCTTACTGACGCCGTGTGTGTCAATGCAAGCACACAGCCTGGCTCGGGAGCATGCATGCACAGCTGCCTCATAAGGGGGCACATGGAGGAAGAATAAGCAGAGAAAGCTGGTGGGTGACTGGCAAAGAGGAGATAAGGGACTGCGTTGTGTAATTCCTTTGCACAAACCAGGTGAGTGTAACCTTTATTTTATGACAAAAAATTACCTTTAGTATTACTTTAAAAAAATCTTAATTTTGTATTATCCTTTGGCTTTTTGCCAAAGGGGTCAAATTTTGCGGACATTTTGCTGGAATGTCTGCAAACGTAACTTTGCTCTCCTAAACTCATCATCATCTCCCTGTTCCAGTGGCTGACACTCGGGTTGTGGTGTCACTATACTGAATCCAGAATAAGGCTTTTATGGAGCAGTTAAGCAGTACCGACTAACAGGGAACTTCCAGGTTTCAAAAGTATTTTTCCAGGACGCAAATTCAAAATCCCTTTCTTTTTGAAATAAAGGGGAGTTGGTAGTTACATTGTTCGTCATCAGATCAGCCCAGATTTTATTTTGCGTATGATTTATGCAAGGAGTCAGCTTCTGGGAAGAGCACATAGTGGGAAGTCCTCTTGTAATTGTTCCCATATAACAGAGGAGCGTTGTACGGTGTGATGACTTCACGTTGGGGGAGCAGCACACCATTCCAGGGCTTCCTGATTCTTACATTTCCTTCTGTGACCTCACAGCCAGAAATACTCACCCACCCTTAAAGAAAAACAGCCCAGCCAATAAGGGGTGGGTGGATTCAACTCTCGCCGTTCTATATTTAGAAACCACATACAGAAACTTCCCCTACGTCACCAGGGAGGACCACTCCATCTCCAACATAAAGCAAAACTCTAGCCTTGTTTAAAAACAAAACTAACCTCCAAGTCACTCTATGCATTGCTAAGACTGTAGGAGGGTACCAACCTGCTTCTGTCCTGTAGGTGTCAAAGCAAACCTCCAAGTCAGCTCTATGCATTGCTAAGACTGTAGGAGGGTACCAACCTGCTTCTGTCCTGTAGGTGTCAAAGCAAACTTGTACTGAGAAAAAGTCGTAGGTTGAAAATGCTTGTCTGACATGCTGATCCATGGGCTTCAATACTTTCTAGGTCACAGACAAGAATTCTGAGCTCTGATTATTTGCTGATTCACTTGTAACCGCATTGAAGGCAGACAGAGCCAGGCAACCAGCATTTTCATCAGGAGAGGTCATGCTGATTCACAGAGTTGAAGAAATATTGAAGCATCAGTTTCTCTTTAGATGGACTGTAGGCAGGGGCGGACTGACCATTTGGAAACTCGGGCATGGCCCCTGGTACCTTTTTCATAGGCTTTTTTGAGTTTGGGCAAGGACACAGGGGCCCCATGATCCCCTATTGTCCGGGAGCCCCATGAGTTGTCAGTCTGCCCCTGACTGTAGGCATGAACTTTCGCACTACCATTGCATCGGTACACTACTGCATTGCACGCTAGCGCACCGTAATGTGTAGCCCCATTGCACAACTACACCTGTGTTACAGCACCATCCATTCTTCTATCTAGCTAGCTATCTCATTTAACCCCTTACAGCAGAAATACTGCTACAGGGCGGGAGGGCTGTGCAAAATCATGTATATATAAGTGATTTTGTATTTCAGGGTAGGAGGTGCGCGTGCGCCTTACCCGCGCCGCCATTGGCGGCTTCAGCTGCCGATCACTGGGTCCTGGCCAGTGATTCCCCATCGGCAACCGGCTATCGCCGAGTATCACTGACGGGGGAGAGACCTGTATGTAAACAATACAGATCTGTCCCCTGTCAGCTCCAGAACGCTGTTTTGTATGGCTCTGCATAGCAGTGCCATACAAAGCAAAGTGCTTACACTGTAAAACACAGCACATAGTAAAACAGTACACAGTTAACCCTTTGATCACCCTAGATGTTAACCCTTTCCTGCCCAGTGTCATTAGTACAGTGTCAGTGCTTTTTATTAGCACTGATCACTGTATTAGTGTCACTGGTGATGTCAGTGACAGTTAGTCAGTTCCCACCCAGTGTCAGAATGCCCGCCGTAGTCCCGCAGTCCTGAAATAAGTTGCTGATCGCAGCCATTACTAGTATAAAAAAAATTGGAGTATATATACCACAATTTGTAGATGCTATAAATTTCAAGTAAACCAATTAAATTACATGTATTGGATTTTTTTTTTTTAGCAAAGACATAGCATTTTGACCTAATTTAATGACTAAATTTAATTTTTTTATTTTTTTTACGTGACATGTGTAATAGCAAAAAATCAAAAATATAGTTTTTTTCTCAAAATTGTCAGTCTTTTTTTGTTTATAGCGCAAAAAATAACAAATGTAGAGGCGATGAAATACCACCGAAAGAAAGCTCCATTTAAAAAAGGACATAACTTTCATTTGGGTGCAGTGTTGCATGACTGCGCAAACGTCAGTTAAAGTAACACTGACAGTGCGTGAGGAGAGGAGAGCCAGTAAGCGGCATTTCCCAGGGGGGGCATGTACACTGATAATCAGGGCACTGATCATCAGTGCCCTGATGACCAGTGTAGCCCCATCAGTGACGCCAATAGTGCCCATCTGTGCTGGCTTTCAGTGACCATCTGTGCTGGCTTTCAGTGACCATCTGTGCTGGCTTTCAGTGCTCATCAATGCTGGCTTTCAGTGCCTCCTCAGTGATGCCTGTCAGTGCCCATCAGTGATGCCTGTCAGTGCCCATTAGTGCTGCCTATCAGTTCCCATCAGTGCAGCTTATCAGTGCCACCTATCAGTGCCCATCAGTGCAGCCTCATCAGCGCACATTAGTGAAGGAGAAAAACAGAAACTAAGAAACACATTTTTTTTTCAAAATTTTTGGTCTTTTTTTGTTTGCTTTGCAAAAAATAAAACCCCCAGTGTTGATTAAATACCATAAAAAAAATCTCTATTTGTCTCAAAAATATGATAAAACTTTTGTGTGGGTACAGTGTTGCATGACCGCACAATTGTCATTCAAAGTGCAACAGCTCTGAAAGCTGAAAAGTGGCCTTGGCAGGAAGGGGGTAAAAGTGCCCGGTAGGCAAGTGGTTAAAGCTTGTAGAATGAGTTTTCATTCTCTCCTGATGGTCCTATGAGACTGCAGGACCCCTGACCCTCTGTCTGAACAGTGCTGATTGACCCTGTGCTGATCACATGCACCCCCCTCCTCCCAAAAGGAACTCTCTAGCAATACACACCAAACTGGGCATGTGCATGTTTCCCCCAAGGCTCTGTTCTATCAGGAGATGGATTAGGGACAGTAGAAGAAGGGGAGGATCAGAGAAGACAGGATCAAACATCCTTTTTACACAATGCAGAGAATTAACCCCTTAGGTTCCACAGTGAGTATAACAAGCATGCTTTACTGCATATACAGACTGATTTTACTGTTGTGGGTGTAGTAACACTTTAAGCACAGAAACATCGGCGGATGACACATATTTGCAGCCTCTGGGCAAGAAATCCCACCCTATTACCACCACACATATGTGTTACACAGGCAGCAACAGGTTAATAATAACAATATGCTAACTACTAATGTAGTTTTGTGAAGGAAGAGGGTGGGTAGATGCTGTGTTATGTTTCCATTGATGAAGGTTTTAGTGTATTTTAGAATATGACAATTAAAGTGGTTGTAAACCCTTACATATACCCAATGAAATGACTTGCCTCCGGAGATACAGAGAAATGACCCGAATCCTCCTACATAAGCTATATCTGTTTATCTGAAGTCTTCTCTTCTCTACAGCCGATCAAAGTGCTGCATTTATAAAGCTTGTCTTAGAGTTCAGAAAAAAGGGGGCGGATAGCTGAAATTCACTCTGCAGATCTCAGTGAGATGAGCCCCGATCACTAATTAAAGAGAAGAGACACACTCCCCTTCACATAGCTCACAGGAACAGAGCTGAGGCTGTCAATCTGATGGAGCTCCCTCCCCTGTCACCTTTTTTTCTCTTGGTGTCAGGAAAACTTGTCAGAGGTGAGTCATGCTGATAGCAGAGGAATGAAGCAGCAGACAGAAATGATACTTAGTGCTTTTAATTGAGACAAGTACACACCACCATAGAGGGATATGCTTTGTTCATATTTCATGTCTGAGGTTTACAACCACTTTAAGGGCTTTTTTCACCCCGGTATGTCACCATACTATCCAATTGTTATCTTGACAATCCAAAGCTAGGTAGTAGGAAGGTTAGGCCTAGGTCACACTGGCAATTCTTCAGACAAAACTCTCCACTGAGAGAAGCACTCTGAGTCCCCACACCTTCTCTTGTAGCGTTTTGCTCTCATTGGTTGAACAAGTGAGTTGGCGCATTGTCGCCGTTCCCTGGCTAGGAATTGAGATTCTGTAGTGTTTAGACTAGGGAGGATGCAACTTTCATTAAGTGAAGTGAGAGTTTCATCTCGCCAACAGCATAATGTACAGTTGTGACAGGTTTATTTGTCCTTCAGCATGCCTGAAGATCAACGCAACATAAGAGCATGGAACCTCTTTACAGCAGAATTAGTGGAGATTAATGATTCAGGGTGGAACTTAACATTAGCTGTTCAAAACCCCTTTAACTGCTTCTCAATCACCCTATAGCAAAAATACTGCTACAGGGTGGTAGGGGTGCGCAAACTCACGCATATATACATGATTTTGCATTCCCAGGTAAGTGGTGCGCACAAGCCGCGTGCGTGCCCTACCCACATCGCCATTCGCACCCGTGGTTGTCAATCACCGAATACTCGCCGTCGCCCAGTGATTTCCGAGGATCTCCAACAGGGAGGAGAACTGTTTTGTTTACTAGCAGTTCTCCTCCTTGTCAGCTCTGGCATACTACTTTGGATGGCTGTGCACAGCACAGCCATCCAAAGCAGTGTGATTTCAGTGAAGCACACTGACACAGCCCCATAGTAAAACACTCCCAGCACACAGTTAACCCTTTGATTGTCCCTCATGTTAACCCCTTCCTGCCCAGTCCCATTAGTACAGTGGTAGTGCTTTTTTTTTTAGCACTGATCACAATATTTGGTGTCACTGGGGATGTCAGTGACACCAAGTCAGTTTCCCCCAGTTTCAGAATATCTGCCGCAGTCCCCCTATAAGTTGCTGATCACCGCCATTACTAGTAAAATTGGAAAAAAGGAATCCCAGTATGTATACCGCCATTGCTATTATAAATAAAAAATAAAAAATCCCAGTATCTATACCGCCATTTGTAAACGTTATAACTTTCACGTAAACCAATTAATTTACACGTATTGTGATTTTTTTTCTTAGCAAAGACGTGGCAGAATACATTTTCGCGTATATTTATGACGAAATTTGATTTTTTAATTTTTTTTACTGGACATGTTTAATAGCAAGAAGTCAAAAATATTGTTTTTTCTCTCAAAATTGTTGGTCTTTTTTTTATAGCTCAAAATATAAAAACGCACATGCGATCAAATGCCACCAAAAGAAAGCTCCATTTGTGGGAAAAAAGGACATAAATGTAATTTGGGTGCAGTGTTGCATGACCGAGCAATTGTCAGTTAAAGTAATGCAGCGCCATAACGGAAAAAATGGCCTGGTCAGGAAGGGGGGTAAATCCTCTGGAGGGCAAGTGGTTTAACTTCCTTAGCTTGAAATAAAAGGTTTGGTACCCAGTTCCTATTTTCCTCCTTTGCAGCATATCCTTCTCAGGAGCAATACAGGTGCTCTTAAAAGCGCGTTATTTTACACTAGCCCCTACTGCGTTTTGTAAATGCTTTCTCTTCCTCATTGCTGTATTTGATCAGCTCAGTTGCCCCGCAGACTCCCGTTCCTTCTGCAGCAATAATCAATAGGATCCTGCGAATTATGTGCAATTAAGATAACTGCCTGATGAATAAGTAATCATGAAATGCGCACAGCTTCCTTCTGAAGCGAGAGGCAGAAAAACCAATTTCATGGCCAATTTTTACCATCAAAGTGTGATTTCTCCATTCACAAGGAAGCATCCTGAAGAATTCTAATTGGGCTGTGAGAATAAATAAAACAACTCATATTCCCTCTGCAGTATAAAATAACTTATTTTCTGTTGGATTCAGGAGCAGAGTTCACATGACGATAGACGAAACGTGGGTAATCCTCTCAGCTAGCGGTAGGGAAGGAGCTAAGATTCAATTTGCAAGACGGATGTTTGCTATCTACGAGACATACTATATAGTAAAGTAGTATAGGGGTCTCATTGGGGAGCCTGGACTTCACCCATGTACAGGGGCGGACTGACAACTCATGGGGCCCCCGGGCAATAGGGGATCATGGGGCCCCTGTGTCCTTGCCCAAACTCAAAAAAGCCTATGAAAAAGGTACCAGGGGCATCTCATGGGGCCCCCTACTGACCCCGGGCCTTCGGGCAGTGCCCCAGTTTCCAAATGCTCAGTCCGCCCCTGCCCATGTAGGATGGATACCTTGGGACTGTCCACTACTGACACCTGGGCTGTTGATAAGAGGGTACCACCAGTCCTCCTGTACTGGGCCCATTCCAGCAGATGTCAGATGTGGGTTACTGGAACTGATCCCCTTTATGGCTCCCTCTGCAGTAGCTGAAAGGTGGCTTCTTGATCCTTGGATCGGTTCCAGTAATTGCCCCCCGTGCACCCAACACCCTCCCTGTGCACCATACATTTCTTCCTGCTGCCCAGGCACTTCTTTGTGCCCTTACTCCCACAGTGCTCCTGACTTCCAGTCTCTCCTCCTCACCGACACCTGCAAGCACAATAGGATCCTTCAGGATGGAAAGTGGGGGAAGGGTCCAGTAAGTATACATTTCCCAGCCCCTTCCTTTCCCGAATGAACACAATGAGTGATCTGTACCTATCACTCACTGTGTTCATTCATAATTGAAGCATAGTAAACTGTGATTTTTTTGAGGGAGGGGGAGAAGAACTGTTAGGTTACCTGTATAGGGCCCCGTGAATTCTAACAGCAGCCCTGACTGACACCCACTCCATGAAAAGGGATTTTTGATTAGTAGAGGGTCCAGAGGATTGTGGGTTGAGATTCCACACATTCATTGATGGAATGTA